TCAGAGGGTAGTTAATTTAATTAATTCTCTACCTCAAAGGGCTGCAGATGCTCAATCCTTGAACATGCTCAAGACTTACATTAATAGATTTCTTGTGCATCAAGTGATTAAGGGATATGGGTACAATGCGAGTAGTTGAAGTTAAAATACATCAGCCATGATCCTACTGAATGGTGGGGCAGGCTCGAGGGACCCAATGGCTTACTCTTGCTTCTAATTGTTATGATCTTATATAATATATTTTTAAGGGTTTGCCATTGCTTGTCTACTATCATATTCTTTAATCTAGTTCCCCTGTCTATTTTAGCTAAATCTCTATTACCAGCAAAATTGGCTCTATTTTAGCTTAAGACCCTTTGCTTCAGACTAAACGACATCATTCTCTCACGTAATGCAAATTTCCATCATGATTTTGACACTCTGGCGTATAGGAGACTTATCTTCCCGATTGCTGATATTGCCTATTTCGTTACATTAAACAAGATCTGGTATCGTCTGTTCTCTGGTTATTTCCTCGACAAACTAATCGAGAAACCTATCTCCAATGCATTCTATATCAATTATCAAATGCAACGATTATTATTATTAGTCTATGAACTCTGAGTTACTTTTGCAATTTGGCTTTCTCAGTCTATATAACGATTAAAATCACCCACTGTTTGTATTTAGCCTTTGATACATGCTTCTCTAATTTCCTGGTTAATACTCTGCTTAATGCTGCGACAAATGTTCGCGGTCATTAATACTCCCAGTAAAATTTTCTGCCCTATCTTATTTTCTGATTTTAAACCCATCCTCTATGCAATTTTTATCCCGTCCTTCATTTGCAGGGTTACACGCCATCCCACCTCGTTTTCCACTTTGCCTATCTTTTCTATATGCCGAATACCCCGGAAAATTTAGCTCCCAACCTTGATCCCCTTGTAACCACGTCTGAGTCATGGCTACCAGATCAATACGGTTTGTTTCTATTTGTGCCATTGGATTATATTACGCAATGATTCGTGAAGTTGATGTCAACAGGAATCGACTCTCCACATGTTCTTGTCATACCATTTGCTGCAAAAGTGCAGCAACAACGGAATTCAGTTCATGCTTTTTTGTTGCCTGAAATCTTTCACTTTTGACGTCAGTGTGGACAGAAAAGCTCCGGACACTCGTTTCGGGCGGCCCAAGCGGCAAATAGGCCTCTCGGAGGCCCCACTGTTGTTATTGTTTTTATGTGATTGTGAGTGTATGTGTGTCTCTCTGTGTTTGTGAGTGTCTGTGTATCTCTCTGCGTGTGTGCCTTTCGCTTTCTGCTTGTGAATGTGTAGGTGTGTCATCCTCTCTGTATTTTTGCGTGTCTCACTGTATGTGTGTGAGTCTGTCTGTGTCTCTGCCCTATTTGAGAGTGTATGTTGTATCTCGCTGTGCTTTTGAGTGTCTTCTTGCGTTTCCATGTTTGTGAGTGTATGTGTGTTTCTCGACATGTGTTCGTGAGTGTGTCTGACTGACTGTGTCTGTCTGTCCCTCTCTCATCTGAATGCAAGTTTGCGAGTGTGTCTCTCTACTCTGTGTGCCTGTATCTATCTCTTTATGAGTGAGTGTGTTTGTCTCTGTGGCTGTGAAGGTGCATGTCTATCTCTATGCCTGTGCGTTTGTCTTTCTGCATGTGTGAGTTTGTATCACTCTTTGTGTGTCTATGATTGTGTGTGTGATTCTCTGTGCCCGGTATGTGTGTTTTTTTGTCTGCGTGTGCATATGTTACCGAATCTGTATGCTGTGTCGGTCCAGCAAGGTACGAAAAGGTGTGCTTCTGTAGCAACGCCGGTTGTCCACCCCAAACAACATCCGCCCCACCCCCGCAGAAAAAATACGAGACTCACGCATTTCATGTGAAGGTAGTAATTATTATTTTTTTCACAATAATGTATATTATTTCTTATTGTTAGCTTCATCAATAAAGTGAAAAAGGTTAGGTTGGCAGTGAAATGGACCTCAATAGAACGATTCAATTTCCTGCAATTTTCTGCAATTTTTTTTCCAAAATCCACACATAATTTTCAGAACAATGCCAAAGATCCACGCAGTTTTGGGCTATGTCCCAGCAATAGCTATGCGAGGGTGTTATCTGTAGAATTGTCGGCCAGGAAACCGCGAGAGTGAAACTCCCTTCCCCTGGAGGTCTCTGACAAGCTGCAGCATTGTCGAGACTCAATTTGAAACTGAAAGTCACGATGCGATTAATTTTCTGTAAATACAGTCATTGCGAAAATCCCTCACTGATTTATGCAGCACACAAAGCTAAAGAATCGGATTGGTTCATGCTGAACTCATATAGTGAAGAAAGGAAGTCATTGTCGCTACACTTCACGTCTGTCGCTGTGCCCTTGGGTAGTGGATGGACATTGGAGAGGTAATGTTTCTCCAACGATGAACTGAGAGTGTGAGCTTACAATTCAGAGGTAGATTTACTGTGTATATAATGTTGAACAGGAAATTTGGACACGCAGAGCAGAGAAGATTTTCTGTGTCTGTAACGCTGAACTGGAAGTGTGAACAAACATTGCAGAGGGAGCTTTACTGTGTCTCGAAATCTGAGCGGGGACTGCGGACACACAGTGCAGCGGGAACTTTACTGTGTCTCTAACACTGAGCTGGGAGAGTTGGCAGAGCACAGTGTAGAGGGAGCTTTACTGAGTCTCTGACGATGAACTGCCAGTGTGGACACACTGTGCAGATATAGTTTTATTTGTCTCTAACGATGGATTGGGAGTGTGGGCATGCATCGTAGAGGTAGCTTTACTGAGTCTCTAACCCTGAACTAGAAACCTGAACACGCAAGTTAGATTAACTTTACTGTGTCTCTACTGGGAGTGTGGACATGCAGTGTAGAGGTAGCTTTACCCACCCATTAAACATGAACTGGGAGTCTGAAAAAAACATTGCAGAGGGAGCTTTGCCGTCTCTCGAAATTTGAGCTGGGACTGTGGAATCACGATGGAGAGGAAGATTTACTGTGTCTCTAACCCTGACTTGGGAGTAGACGCACAGTGCAGAGAGAGGATTACTGTGTCTCTAACTCTGAACTGGGAGTGTCGACATCGACAGAACCCAATATAGAGGGAGCTTTACTGTGTCTTTATCCGTGAGTTGGGAGAGTGCACGCACAATGCAGATGGAATTTTGCTCTGTCTCAACCTCTGTCCTGATTGTCCGGACGGACGGTGTCGAGATGTCTCTGGCGCTGAGCAGGAAGTGGGGATGGACAGCTTCCAATGTGCTTTACTGCGTCAATGAATCTGACCTGGTTGTATGGATGCTCAGTGTAGAGGGAATGCGTTGCAGTTGGTATGATTCTGTTACTAAATTCTAATGTTCAATGTATGTTGAAGAATCTGCGTCTTTGGAGCCAAGAGGACAAGGTTTTACCATATGGATGATAAAGACAGAGAGATGTGTACTTTATGTTTTTAACAGTATATTATTTCTTCTGTTAGGGTTCTTTATTTTGCCATATACTCTCATATGTTGTTCTGCTCTACATATTAACATACATTTTAAATGTATTAATATAATATAGTAACAGTTATTCTGATAATAGAATATATTGTTCGGTACTTGTTTAGCTTTTGTTTGTGGAGGCCCATTTAGTTCCAACCACGTCAACGGTCACAAGCTTTACTAACCTGGGTACACCTGTGGGATCGGGCGTCAGACCGGGTTGGGGGACAAACCGTGTGGAGTGAACCGGAGGCAATGGGAGAAGTCGCAACGGGCAATGGGATAAAGGGGGTAGCAATCGCAGCCGGTGGGGGGGGGTGGAGAAATACGGTGGAGTGAGAACTGAAGGGGAGAGACCTGGCGGAAGGAATGGTGAGCTCCAGAAACCGTGATGGCGTGAGAAACCCGAGGTGCGAAGACCAGGGGCGTGAATGAACCTGGGGGAGAAACTCAGGAGGAGAGTTCCGAAGGCAGAGATCCGGGGGTGAGATACCGGGAGGAGGGAGACAGGGGGAGATACACTGGAGAGAGGCGAAGTGGGAGAAAAGAAGATGGGCGAAACAAATGCGAAGGGGAGAGGCCCAGGGTTGAGGGAGAAACGGGGGAGGAAAGATACCCGGTGGGGAGAGAGACCGGTGGTTAGACCCGTGCGTGAGAGAAGTGGGGGAGAGACCCGAGGGGGAAGAGAACGGGAGCGAGATACACGTGCTGAGAAACCATGGGTTGTGTCGGGACCCGCTGGGGAGAGGACCGCTGGAGAGTACCCGCCGAGCGGGAAATCTGGGTTTGAGACAGACGGGTGGGGGGGATACGAGTCCTGGAGGTGTAACTTGCCGGAAGTTGGAGGGGGAGGGGGGTCTAGACTCGCGGGTGGGAGACCAGGTTGGGGAGAGACCGGTGGTGGCGGGAGGGGGATGGGGGTGTCTGGAGCTATCAGGGGGAGACAGCTGTGGGGAGAAGGGGAGAGAGACCCGGGGATGGAGAGTAACCATGGCAGGGGGAGAGAGAGTCGGGAACGTTTGGAGAGAGCCGGGGGATCGTAGAGAGACCCGGGAGGAGAGAGAGACGTGGGGCTGTGGGGAGAGTTACCTGGGATAGGAGAGAGAAAAAACCAGGGGATGGGGAGAGACGCGGGGCGCGGGGAGAGACCCAGGGAGCTGCAGTGACCAAAAACACGTTCATATCACACAAACATTTAAGAGATTGTTTAATCACATTAATAACAGAAACCTTACACATCGCAGCAGCCAATTTGATCACAGCAACGTCCGCAAACAGCCATGGAGTGATGGACAGATTTTAATTGTTGGATTGTCAGCCAGGAAACCGGAGAAGGAAATGCTTTCCCCTGTTGCTCTCTAACAATGTACAGCATTGAGCTGACTCACGGTGAAGCAGAAAGTAACCATGTAATTTGTTTCCAGTAGCAAGAGAAGACTCTAAGTACTATTATTGGGAGAGTCCCTCAGTGCTGCGCTCTCGGCTATACTCAAAGCTAAAATATCAGGTGGGTTTGTGCTGATATCCGATATCGAGAGAATCGTAAATAATGGCGATTGCACTGCTCCTATATCCCTGGGCTGACCTCGGTAGGTGGACGCTCAGTGTACAGGGAGCTTTACCGCGTGTGTAAATAACCCTGACCTGGGAGTGTGGACGCACAGTGTAGAAGGAGCTTTACTGTGTCTCTAATCCTGAACCTGGGAATGCAGCTTCACAGCGTGAGAAGCTGCAAGTGGCAAGATTGGGTAACAGAATGTGTCTTACTATTACATTTCTCGTGTCACAGGGCAACTTAAGTCTGTCGTTTTTCAGGACGGTTAAGCGTGAAATTCCCGGGAACAAAAGAGCTCAGAATCGGGTTTGGGAAACCGTGTTTCGCACATTTCTGTGGAGCAGATACAGAGGGAACTAACAAGACCTTCAAAATGGGAAATGAAGGCAATATAACAGTGGAGATGGCCTGCCTGGGCCGCCCTTTCAGGCTGGGAATGCTGTACGATTGTCGCTCAGACTCTCTTATCCCAGGTAAGGTGAACTGCAGCCTTCCTGTCAGCCACAACCTCGCCAGTCTGTTAGTCAGACATTTCTCTGATCTGCTGTTGGCTCACACGCTTAGAATTGCATAAGAGTTTAGGCCAAATTGACTGTAGTTGACAGCTCCAGCGTGCGGCAGTCACAATTGGCAACAGAGAAAGCAAATTAGTGACAGACAGAATAAGAAAGAGAGAGAGAAATAATGTGAGACACACAGCGATTAAAAGAGAGAGCGCGAGAGCGACAGAGAGAGAGAGAGAGAAAAACACACACATAGAGTGAGAGAGACATAGATTACACAGAGAGCGTGAGAGTGAATAAACTCACATAGTGTGAGTAAGAGAGAAATGCATACACACAGCTTGAGAAAGAAAGAGTGAGAGAGAGAAGTACAAATAGAGCGTGTAAAACAAACACAGATAGTTAGAGAGAAGCGCAGACTCAGTGAGAGAGAAAAACACACACAGTGAGAGAAAAAAACACATATAGAGTAAGAGAGAAGCACACACACAGTGAGAGAGCAACATACACACACTGAGAGAGCAACACACAAAGTGAGAGAGAAACAAACACAGAGTGGGAGAGAAACACACACAGTGAGAGAGTAGAACACACAGAGTGAGAGAAAATCACACACACCCACATGAGAGCGAAACACACACACACAGTGAGAGAGAAACACGCACAGAGTGAGAGAGAAACACACACAGGTTGAGAGAGAAACACGCACACACACAGGGAGAGAGAAACACAAATGAGTGAGAGAGAAACACACACACACAGTGAAAGGGAAACACACATACAGAGTGAGAGAAACATACAGAGAGTGAGAGAGAAACAGACACAGAGTGAGAGAGAAACAGACACCCAGTGAGAGAGAAACACATACACAGTGCGAGAGAAACGCATACAGAGTGAGATAGATAAACACACACCGAGTAAGCGAAAAACACACAGAAATGACTACACAGATTAGGAAAGGAACACTAACAGAAAGTAAGAGAGAAACACACGCACAGGCAGAGCGAGACACACACACACACAAAGAGTGAGAGAGCTACATACAGACAAAGTTAGCGAGATACATTCATAGTGAGAGATAAGTAAAAAGAGAGAGAGAGAAATACGCGCACATAGCATGTGAGAGAAGCCGAGAGATTCAGAGAGAGAGAGAGAGCGGTAGAGAATTACCAACACAGTTCGAGAACGAAACACACAGCGCGTGAAAAACAGATAGAAATACACACAGACAGCATATGAGAGATACAGAGAGAAAATTGCACACCCCCTGTGCGAGCGAGAAGCAGGGAGAGAGAAATGCACAAACGAAGTGAGAAAGAAACAGAAAGAGAGAAATACACACACAGAGCTGGACAGAAACAACAAGAGAGAGGAACAGAGAGAGACAGAGAGAGTACCAGAGACAGAAGCACACAAACACATCGCGAAAGAGAAACAGAGGGAGAGAGTAACGCAAAAATTCTCTAATTGTGGAGTCCTGTAGCTCAGTGGTTAGAGCACTCGCTTTGCAAGTGAGAGACCTGAGTTCAATTCCAGGCAGAGGGCGAAACCTTGGGCAAGTTTCCTTACTCCACACAGAGCCTAATAATAATCCCTCCAAAACCCAAAACAATAAAAAAAATTGGTCATTTTCAATCTACGACTGTTTGTGGGACATTGCTGTGCGCAATTGGCTGCCGCGTTCGCCCACAAATATACAGTCAATTCACTTTACAGTGTGTTCTGTGAAGCGCTTTGGGACGTCCTCCCGACGTGAAAAGCGCTATACCAAATGCGAGGATTATTATTATTATTATATTATAAAAAGGGTGAGAGTGAAACACACACAGAGGGAGAAACACACACACACAGTATGAGAGAGAGAAACAAACACAGACTGAGAGAGAAACACACACACACACACACATACAAAATGAGAGCGAAACATACGCATCGAATAAACGAACCACACACAGTGTGAGAGACAAACAAAGAGAGCGAGAGAGAAAAACAGAGAGAGAGAGAGAGAGAGCGAGACAGTGAGAAAGAGAGAGTGAGAGCGAGACAGAGAGAAACACACAAAGAGCGTTGGAGAAACGCACACTCACAGACTGAGAGAGTCGCACACACAGTGTGAGCGAAATATATACACACAAATTGAGAGAGAAACACATATATAGAGAGAGATAGAAACACACCCAGAGAATGAGATAGAAACGCGCGCACACCCGTGCAGAATGAGAGACAAAGACACGCACATAAATATTTACACAGAGTGAAAGATACACAAACTGTGTGAGAGAAACACACAGAGTGAGAGACAAACATAGATCGCGAAAAAAATAATCACACACAGGGTGAGGGAGAACCACACAGTGAGTGAGGGAGAGAAACACACACGCAGACAGAATGAGATAGAAGCAGAGGGAGAACAATGCACAGAGAGAGAGGGAGAGAGAGAGAAAGAGAGGTAGAGAGAGATAGAGAGAGAGAGAAAGAGAGAGAAATACACAGAGAGTGAACACCGAGAGAAAACACATAACACGCGTGTGAGGGTAACAGAGATAAAGAAATACACATATGGAATGAGAAATAAACTGGTATACAGAGAAATACACATACACAGAGTTAGTGAGAAACAGAGAGAGAGAAACAAGCTGACTAACATTTCGCGAAAGTGAAAGAAAGACAGAGAAGTACGCAAAAAACGTGAGAGGGAATCACACAGAGAATGAGGGAGAATGAGAGATACACACAGACACAGTGGAGAGAAAAGCACACAGAGTGAAAGAAAAACACAGACGCAGAGCGAGTGAGAGAACGACACACACAGAGTGAGACAGAAACACACGAAAAGAGTGAGACACACCCATAGAGTGAGCGAAATACCAAAAGAAACAGAGGGGAGAAGCAGACACACAGAGTGAGACAGAAACACACAAAGTGAAAGAAACACAGTGACGAATGAGAGAGAAACAAACACAGAGTGAGGGTGAGCAACATACAGAGAATGCGAGAGAAAAATGAAACATAGAGGGAGGGAGAAGCAGACACACAGAGTGAGACAGAAACACACAAAGAGTGAGAGAAACACAGTCACGAATGAGAAACACACACATACAGTTAGAGAGAAATATATATACAGAGCGAAGGAAAAGCACACACACAGAGTGAGGGAGAAGCACACACACAGAGTGAGAGAAACACACACAAAGAGTGAGAGAAGCAAATGTACACACACACAGTGAGAGAGAAACTAAAGCACAGAGTGAGAGAGAAACACATGCACAGAGTGAGAGAGAAACACACACACACAGAGTAAGAGAGAAACAAAAACACAGAGTGAGAGAGAAACACACACACAGTGAGAGAAACACACAGTGTGAGAGAGAGAAAAACAGAAGCAGAGTGAGAGAAAAATATACACAGTGGTTATTATCAGCATGTGGATTAAGAAAAATGTCCAACGTTTCGCCCTGCCAAGAATGGATCCCAGTTATCTCGCTTGCAAGGCGAATGCTCCAATTAAGGAGCTGCAGAACACCAGAGCTACGTTGCCTCAGGCCTGCCCTGATTCCACAATAAGTTTTCCGTTTTGGTCCTAACTAACTCCACCTTTGCTTTGACCATCCTTTTACGTTTGATGTGATTATAGAAGACTTTAATGATCACTGTATGTTATCCGTTAATCGTTTCTCATGAACTCTCTTGGCCCCTCGTTTCCTTTTTCAGGTCTCCTCTTCACTTTCTGCAACCAGTTTGATTCTCCCCGTGTCTTTTGGATTTGAAATTTACAAAGCTTCTGTTTGTATTTCACTTGAAAACCAACTTCTTTTGGCATGCAGGGAAATCTAGCTCCTCCGTGATAACATCCCATTGCTTGTATGCCGTTTTCCAAGTCAATCTTTTCTTCCAGTCCACCTGGGCCAGATCCGTTTTCAACACGCCGGATCTACCTATTCCGATTGATAATCTTCAAATGCGATTGTTCCTTTTCCCTTTCCATACGTCCTCTAACCCTAATGCTTTTGTGATCACTGTTATCCACATGCTCTTCCACTGATACGGTATCCATTTGCCCAGCTTCGTTCTCCATGACGGGATATGGCCCTGCCTCCACTTTTTACTTCCCCATCTCTACTAAATAAATTGTAGCCAGGAATCTTAAAATCCCGTTCCTGGACTTGTTTCAGCTTGCTCTCAGTTTATTGGGGTTAAATTATATTCCCATATGTCTCTTCAAAGCTGTCTTTGCCTAATTTTCATTTATCGCCTCACTGGTCTCTCCTCTTTCTGCATGAATCTTTAGCCGAAGTTTTTTTGCTCTCGCTGTATTCGATGCTGTTTGTTTTATTTCTCTTACGTTCCTTCCTTGTCCCGTTCACCCTGCCAACTTAGTTTAGTTTAGAATGCAAAGGAAGACAATTCTGCATTCATTTTTTATGTTACTGGTTACTCGTCAGCTGTCTGTACTCAGACCTTATTATATTGGCTTGTGCAGGAATCACATTGTGGGATTTGGAAACGCTGAATGCGAGTGTGCGACCGCAGCCCAACACTCAATTTCAGATAATTGCATCAGACAGCATCGAGGACAAATCATCTGCCCTGAATGTGACAGGAGAGCTGAAAGCCAGTCTCCTGGGCGGAATGATCCAGTTACAAGGATCTGCCAAGTACCTGAACGACACAAGGAAGTCCCAGCACCAGGCCCGAGTAACGCTGCAGTATTCCACCACGACCAGATTTGAACAACTGTCCATGAAATACTTGGGGGAACAGAACATTTCTGACCGTAAAGTTTTTGATCAGGGCACAGCCACGCACGTGGTGACAGCAGTGCTATTCGGGGCTCAGGCCTTTTTTGTGTTTGATCGAGAGATCTCGTCCTCAGAGAGTCTTACCGACGTTCAGCGTCACATGGAAGCAAAAATTTGTAATATCCCCAAGATTGGAATTGACGGTGAAGTTTCCCTGAAAATGTCAGAAGAAGCAAAAGTAAATGACAAGAAATTCAGCTTCACCTTCTACGGTGATTATGCCCTTTCATTCATCCCCACCACCTTCGTGGACGCCATCGACATTTACACAAGCCTCCCCCAGCGGCTGGGAGAGAATGGAGAACATGCAGTGCCCATGAAAGTCTGGCTCTACCCGCTCAACAAGCTGGACTTCATGGCAGCACAACTGGTATGTGGCATCAGTGTGAACCTGGTCAGTCGCTCACAGGCTCTTCTGGAGGCCCTCAATGAGGTGGACATGAGGTGCAATGATATTATGACAGAATTTGCCCGCATCCCATTTCCCGAGATCAAACAAAAGCTCCAGAGGTTTAGAGCGCGGTGTGCAGAGCACAGGCTGGGCTTCCAGAAGCGCTTGGCTAGCATTCTGCCCTCTATCCGGGGAGGCGAGAAGGAGGAGGGAATTCTGGCCGATATTCTGAACGACAACGGGCAATCACCATTGGAAAGCCAGTCACTGACTGAATGGCTGAACAACATGCATCAGGAAATGTTTGTGGTGAGAAATTATCTCACAAAAATGAAAGACATAAAGTGTGTGACACAGAATGAGCTCGATACAGAGGTTTTGGACCCAATGATCGAGCACGTGGTCTGCTTCACGTTCACATCACTACATCAAGAAGATTTGCATCTGTCAGAAATAGACAATTATCTGCAATCTCAAAGCCTTGGGAAAGCATATCTGCCAATACCTGCCAATCCTGGCCAGGAGCCATGGTTCCGCTCCTCCCATTCGATGCGGGAGTGTGCACGAATATTCCTGGGTTTTTACACAGCCAACAGAGCAGATGAGAGCACCAAGTACGTTGTTGCCTCTGTGCCAGACAAGGACCACCCGGGAGCTTCCATTTACCTGTATGAAGATGGAACGTTACTGAGCAGATGTTTCAAACCTCCATCGAAACCTCCGACTCCCTCGGTGTGTGGAAGGTCACACGACAGTGTCAGCCTGAACTTAAATCCAGCAGACCCCAATGCTGGTCTGACTGTGGAGTACAGAGTGGAATACCGCACAGCCCCACAGGAAGGCTGGAGCATACTGACCACCCAGGAGCAAACAGAAGCCACCATACCTTGTTTAAGTCCATACAAAATGTATCAGTTCCAGTACAGAGCAGTGAGCAAAGAGAAGCTTCAGAGGTTCAGAGCGGACAGCCAGGTCAGTGACACTGTGAGTGTGTCGACACTTCCCACAAGTGCCCCTGGGAAGCCTTCGATAGTGCAGAAAGAAGCGTTTGGTGTGCAATTGACCTGGGACAAGCCCGATGTTGTGGGAGATGGTGTCACTGTACAGTATTACAAGATACAATACCAAGAAAGCAGGAAAACCTCAAATGCTGAATGTGACCAGTGGCAGGAAATCAGGACAAAGGACAGTGAATGTCTTTATATATTAGCGGGATTGAAACCCAGCACATCCTACATCCTTCGTGTATCCGCTGTTTGTGCTCAGGCAGGTGAGAGCGCACCAAGTTTCGAGACCTCACTAACAACAAAGGACATACCAAAGTCACCGTCCCGAAGTTTTCTGAACGAAAGCAAATTACTGAAAAATGGGAGCCCTTCGATTTATGAGCTCCAGCGTGTGAGAGTTGAAAACCAGGGAGACTTTGAAAAATACAGTTGTGGAAAGGGATTATTCACGCGCAATATCAAGTCTATCATGGTTCTCGGAGCTACAGGTTCGGGGAAAACCACCCTCATCAACGCCATGGCCAACTATATCCTCGGAGTGGAGTGGGAGGATGATTTCCGATTCAAGTTAATACACGAAGAGACTAACAGATCTCAGGCTGAAAGTCAAACAGCTTCAATCACTGCTTATGAACTCAACAACCAAGAGGGATTCAGGATTCCTTACCCTCTGATTATTATAGACACCCCAGGATTTGGAGACACCCGAGGAATAGCACGAGACAGAGAAATCATTGAAAAGATCAGAAATTTCTTTACGTCCCCACAGGGTGTAGATCAAATCGATGCCATATGCTTTGTTGTCCAGGCCTCTTTGGCCCGACTGACTACGACACAGAAATATATCTTTGATTCAATTCTTTCTCTTTTTGGCAAAGATATTGCAGAAAACATCCGAGTGTTGGTCACCTTCGCAGATGGACAGCTTCCTCCTGTTCTAGAGGCAATCAAACAATCTGAGATCCCGTGTCCCAAAGGGGAGGAAGATCAACCACTTCACTTCAAATTCAACAACTCGGCCATTTTCGCCCAAACTGGAACATCTGTTAATAATGTCAACACCAGGAACTTTGACAAAATGTTCTGGGAAATGGGAACAGCCAGCATGGAGCATTTCTTTAACGCTCTGCACAAAATGCCTACAAAGAGTCTACTTTTAACCAAGGAGGTTCTTGATGAGCGGAAGCAACTCGATGTTACTGTGGAGGGCCTGCAACCGCAAATCAATGTGGGTTTGAGCAAGCTGGAGGAGATTAGGAAAACACAGCATATTTTGCAGCAGCACGAAGCTGAAGTGGCGGCAAATCAAAACTTTGAGTATGATTTTGAATATACAGTACAAGAAAAGATTGATATCAGCGGGACGGGAACGTTCATAACTAATTGTTGTCATTGTAACTTCACATGTCACTATCCCTGTTGCATTCCCAATGACGGACACAAACATCGCTGTGCAGCTATGAAATCGGGAAACTGCACGGTCTGCCCCAACCATTGTCACTGGAGTGCTCATTTCAATCAAACTTACAAGTTTAATTATATCAAGAAAACTGAAAAGAGAACGTTTGCGGAGCTGAAAGACAAGTATGAGAAGGCCTCCGGTGAAAAGATGACCCAAGAAAAGCTGATGATGAAATTAGAGGAGGAATTACTTCTGATTGAAGTCACGGTTCTGAAACTGGTGGAAACATTATCTCATTGTCTTGAACGGCTTAAAGAAATAGCTCTCAGACCAAATCCACTGTCGACCCCGGAGTACATCGATCTGCTGATTGAGGCGGAGAAACAAGAAAGAAAGCCTGGATACATGGAACGCATTGAATCATTGAATCAGGTCAAGAATCAGGCACAGATATGCGTAAAAGTCAGCAACAAAGTGGACCTCTTACCAGAAGAGTTCAATATACACATACGCCAACAACAAATGCAGCAAGAAAACAAAAAAGGAAAGAAAGGATGGTTTAGCTGGCTCAATAAATAGCTCAGAAATCCACTTCGGCTGGCGGTGGATAGAATGAGCAATTGTATTGACCTCACTCGATGCTCTTCCTATGGATAATAGGACAACGCAACTCATTTGCTGCTGGCTTGAATGGTTCAGTGCAGCTGACCTTCGACGATATGATCTTCAGCAGCTTCCTCCAACTACAGGAGCATTCCATGATCAGGATGCAGTAGAATGGCAACCAAAGAGAATTATTAACTGTTGTAACGCAACTCATCAAACAGCTTGGAAGCCTGAAATTACACATTTCCAATCCTAATTAATGTAACTCTTAAATTCAGTCTAAACTAGGATGTCTCTCGCTCGACCAGTTTGCTGACGCTTCACATGTGTGTAATCCTGAACCCAATGAATCCGGTGGCTTTGAAGAATGATCATTGAATGTTCTCTTGTATTTTTTGTTTGACAATTAGTCTCATAGTAACCGAAAGACACATTAGTGATTATAGTGCTGATAATTTATAATTGCTATTAGATGTGGCCTAACCATCAATTCCACTATAATTACATTGATATATCGACATTCACCTCTAAACGACATCTCACAGCTCTGGAAGACACAGAACTTTGTCTATGGGCAGCACCGCAAGAAAACAAGTTTCGTCTGGATGAAGAAAGCCATACAGTACAGCGGTTGTCATCCCTACAAAACCTCGCACGAGTGTCTGAATCAGAACTTCAAGCTGCTTTTTAAACATGCCCTGAATCCTGACCTTAATCACTCATTCAGATAATCTGTACCAGTCGCTAATTGCCCTCCGTGTAAAGAAAAACTCCCTGTCGTCTGTCCTGAAATTACAATTGGATACTTGTGTCTTCTTCCACTGTCCTGTTGCAACCCAATCTATTGATCTGAGTTTATTTTTTCAATCCCAATTAAATTATTAGGTTCCATCTCAGTCTTCTTCTCTCCAGAGTGAAAGAGACTTCACTTGTCTAATCGTAGCTCAGAACTCATTCCTCCAACCTTGGGATCGTCCTCGTTGCTCTCCACTGCAAAGTCTCTAAGTCCGGGCAACCCTTATGTCACGGTGACCAGAGCTTTCAGCAAGACTCCAGATGTGGTCTGACAAGAGCAGTTTGCAGTCTGAGTTTGATGTCTGGGGATCTACACTCAGCTGATAACCTAATCCAACGCATCTTGGATTTCGAGATACATTCCATTGCAAGGCTTTCCGCAGCCAACCTGAACTGTCAATTCTTTATAAACCGATGAGACTCGTCAGACAGAACCTATCCTTTCTGAGCCTGTGTTGGATGTCAATTGTTCGATTATATTTTAGATATTTTTTCGTTTCCTTTCTAATGATTAACTGCACCGTGGTCTTACTGTTGAGCTCAGGGCAATGGTGTATAATTTCCAGGATTCATTTGCCGTTTTTATAACCCTTGCATTTGATATATTTGCCTTCTATATCGTTTTATTCCCAGATGCCTTTGGAGAATCTGGGTCTCCAGTATAGTGAATCGTGCAGCTCAAACAATGTTTGCTTCTACTGTGGCTGCACGTAGTGAGATTTTCTCTGATCAAAGTGAATAATTGTGTTGTTAAATTAGGTTAGCTTATGCTGCTTAGATCGAGAGGAGCTGATTTGCAGAATTACCAACTTGGTGATCGTTATTGTTTTGATGTTGTCAACGTGATGGTTATATGATTGTTGTCTTGTGTTGAGGTGACTGATAGAAATTCCGGTTTTCAATAAATTGAGCTGAGTTATTGAACGTGTACCTTAGTGTGACAAGTGTTAATTGGAGGCTGCTGTCACTCTACTTAAGAAGTTGTCATGATATATTGTGCTATGATGAGTTACACTGACTAAGAAGGAAGAAGTGACTATGTTATGGACGTTGTAGATTTTAATGTAAATCGCTGAACAGTGTTCAGTTCTGATGATTAGCTGACCTGAAGTAATAATAATCTTTGCATTTGATATAGCGCTTTTCACGTCGCGCGGACGTCCCAAAGCGCTTCACAGAACACACTGTAAAGTGAATTGACTGTATATTTGTGGGCGAACGCGGCAGCCAATTGCGCAAGTAAACAGAGAAGCGTTATTAGAAAGTGTTGCTGAGCCACATATCAGCAGTCATAGCAAGCGCACCGTCTGCTTACCCAGCCGGGCAGACATCCCACCCGAATTGATGAGATTCAAGCCACTTGGATAAACAAGAGTCAAGTGACACGCAGGCAGAAAGAAGAACAGAGGTAGATGACAAAGGAACACAGCCGCAAGAGGTTCAACGTCTTCGATTATCAATCATCTAAAACAGGAGGCAGTTGTCTTGTATGTATGAACACTGATAATGTCATAAAAGTGAGGTTCAATACGTGAGCATAAAGCATAATATTTTATTGTGTAACCGTACCTGTTCTAACCGTGCTTAGGGAAACTACGACAATTGGAACCATGCTTAATATAACCATGCCTCTTGCGACCATCACTGTTGCGATCCTGTTGATTTTAATCTAGCCTAGCGTAACCATGTTTACTGCAACGGTGCTTATCGTAACCATGCATATTATTAGCATATTTATGGTAACCATGTTTACTGTAGCCTAGCCAAGTGTAACCATGTTTACTATAACTTAGCCAATTGTAGCCATGTTTGCCATAACTTACCTTATTTTAACCATGTTTAATAAAGCGATGCCTACTGCAATCATGTTTAATGTAACCATGCCTAGTTTAACCATGTTTGCTAGAACTTAGCCTTTTGTTATCATATTTACCATAACCATGCCTAGTGTAACCACGTTTACTGTAACCATGCCTAGTGTAACCATGTTTACTGTAATCATACCTGGTTTAACTTGCTTACTGAATCAATGCGAAGCTTTATGGATTTTTGCCTTAGTAAATAAATCAAATTTTGAGTATAGAAAACAAGTGTCTTTCGTTCCTCTATTTTCTGGTGCCTGACATTATATTTTATCTAATCACAATCTGCTGCTATTTTCCAGGGCATTTTGTCGCCAAATTAACAGAGCAGTAAACTCCACTGCTGGCTGTACCTTCACATACAACACTTCCCTGTAACCCCACTGTAAATCATTATTTAAAATGTTTGCTATCTCCCATTAATTTTTTTTCTATATGTTAATTAAATTGTGGGAAATCCTTAGGGTTTTATCGTCTTATGTGACTGCCCTCTCGCAGTTAAAATCAAAATCACACAAGCGAAGTGGAAATATGGAACACTCTTCCGCCAAAAGTCTCTGGAAGTTGGATCCATTCATAATTTCAGGAATGAGGTGCAACGATATTTGTTACATCAGGGTATTTGGGATATGGGGCATGGGTGGATAATTGGAGTTGAAGTACAGATCACCGTGATACGACAAAATGGTGGAAGAGGCTCGAGGGTCTGAATGGCCTACTCCTGTTCATATGTTACAGTCACTGTTTTAATACCTAGTTAATTTTAGAGATTACATTTTACATCTGCTGCTACTTCGATGTCCATTTGTCACTTGTCTCCGGAAATCTCGATTATAGAATGATAGATTCGTACAGCACCAAAAGAGGCCATTCGGCCCATCCAATTTTTGTGCCTTGAATAGAGCAATTTATCTCAATCCCAATCCCCAGCCCATTCCCGATAACCCTGAATACCCGTCCTCCTCAAACACCCGTCCACCGCGTCTTTAAGGTTCTATCCTCGTTATGTGCTGTTTCCTACTCCGTCAAATGACAACCCACTCCTCTTCCCTAGTATTGTAACATACATCCCTTGATTACTCAGTCGCACAAAGCATGAAGATGCCAGAGAGAGTATGCAGATAAAGGGGACAGAGATGTTGCCAAATTCGGTGTGAGTATGTAAGTGTCGAGTGAGGCGAGATCAGAGTGACAAGGAATTGTGTGAAAGTGGGAATTGCTGTGCGATGCCATCGTGAGTGTTCAAGTGTTGTGCTGCTAAAAAATGTTAAAAGTGTTGATACCATTGGAAGATCCCTGGTGACATCATCCGCAGACATGGAGTTACCTTCCACATGTATGCGGATGACACCCAACTCTAACTTTCCTCCTCTACTCTCAACTCCACGACCACCGATGTCCTGACAGCTGTCTGTCCGACATCGAGTCCTGGACGAGAGACAACTTTCTTCAGCTCAACGTACGAAAAACCGAGGCCCTCCTGATAGGCTCACGTCAGCGCCTCCGCACCTCAGGCGTCGACAACATCAGCATCCAAGGCTGCACTCTCCACCTCTCAAAGCCAGTCAGGAACCTCGGCGTTTTGTTCGACCCTGAGCTGTACTTTCTCCCTCATATCCGCGCCAAAACTGGCACCGCCTACCATCACCTCCGGAACATCGCCAGACAACGGCACTACCTCACCCCTCACACGGCTGAAACTCTGGTACACCCCTTTATCACCTCAAGGTAGGACTATGGGAACTCTCTCCTCGCCGGCCTTCCCGGCACCTGCCTCCAAAAGCTGCAGGTCATTCAGAACTCTGCAGCTCGTGTACTGTCCCGCACCAGGCTTCGGGACCACATCACTCCCACCCTCGCTCGCCTCCACTGGCTCCCCATCCCCCAGAGGATCGATTTCAAGATCCTCATGCTCTTGTATCCCTTCTCTGGTGCGGCTGTGATTTTCCCTTTCCCGTTGACGAGCTCTCTGTCCACTGCCAAATCCAGCTCTTGTTGGAGACCTGCACCTCCTAGTAATGTTTCGCTGAGGTCACAGAACACAGTAGCAATGAATAAAGCTAATCGGAGTGTCAGTCAGATGCGACGGTTGATATTCTGAGAGATTGCAGTGAGATGCTTCAATTTACTGATGCATGTTAAATCAGCGCTCACTTATTCCACCAATGTCAACCGATTGGCCTAGAATCGACCATGGTCTCCCTCGTGGCAGCAGCAACTACTAGCAGAAGTAATAATAAATATTGCTAAATTTTGTTTTGCAGACAAATCCACAAGTGGGATAGTGTGGCCAAGTAGCCTAAGTTGTTGGATTCAGAGTTCAATCTCTTCGGGGAAGTGGTTCAAATCCCACTGCTATCAAATGTTCATGACTTTCATCTTGTACATCGACCGAGTAAGATTATGCAATGTGCACATCAAGTGATTTTTCAACAGAGAGAGGTGCGCAGATTGGTACCAAGATGACTCAATCTTCCATTAGTATGAAAGGCCGTTAGATCACTTTGAGTCCAGCATAAGTTAACTTTACATCTCCAGCTATTCCATTTGACGGCAAGCGGGAAACCTCTTTCTAACGGGTAGAAAACAGAGAGTAGGGATAAACGAGTCATTCTCGAATTGGCAGAATGTGACTAGTGGAGTGCCACAAGGATCAGTGTTTGGGCCTCAGTTATTTACAATTTACATCAATGATCTAGACGAGGACATTGAATGTAACGTATCTAAATTCGCGTATGACACTAAACTAGGTGGAAGTGTAAGCTCTGAGGATGATGCAAAAAGATTGCAACGGGATATAGATAGGCTAGGGGAGTGCGCGAGTAGGTGGCAGATGATATTGAATGTGCGGATGTGTGAAGTTATTCATCTAGGTAGAAACAAATTACAAAAACAGATTATTTTCTAGAGGGGGGAGAGATTAGATAGTGTTAATGTTCAGGGGGATTTTGGTGGCCTTGTGCACCAGTCCCAAACAAGTGAGTTTGCAGGCGCAGCAAGCCACTAAGAAGGCGAACGGCAATATAATAATAATATGCCTTGCATTTGATATAGCGCTTTTCACGTCGGGAGGACGTCCCAAAGCGCTTCACAGAACACATTGTAAAGTAAATTGATTGTATATTTTTTGTGGGCGAAAGCTGCAGCCAATTGCGCACAGCAATGTCCCCCAGACATTCGTAGATTGAAAATGACCAATTTATTATTATTTTTTGTTTTGGAGGGATTATTATTAGGCTCTGTGTGGAGTAAGGAAACTTGCCCAAGGTTTCGCCCTCTGCCTGGAATTGAACTCGGGTCTCTCACTTGCAAATCGAGTGCTCTAACCACTGAGCTACAGGACTCCACATGTTAGCGTTCATTGCAAAAGGCTTAGAGTACAAGAGTAGGGAAGTCTTGCTGCAAATGTCTAGCGCCTTGGTGAGACCGCACCGAGAGTATTGTGTGCAGTTTTGGTTTCCTTATTTGAAAAGGACATACTTGCATTAGACGGGGTGCAGTTTAGATTAACTAGGCTAGTTCCTGGGATGAGAGCACTGACGTATGAGGATAGGCTGAATAAACTAGGGCTATATTCTGTACATCACAGAAGAATTAGGGGAGATCGTTTTGAAACATATAAGATTTTTAAAGGGCTGATAAAGTAGACACCGAGGGACTGTCTCCCCTGGTAGGGGAATCTATAACGAGGAGTCACACCCTTAAAATTAGCCTTTAAAACAGAGTTGAGGAAACTTTTCTTCACTCAGATGGTAGTGAATTTATGGAATTCACTACCCCAGAAGGCTGTAGATACTCAGTCCTTGAACATTTTAAAAGTTAAGACTGGTAGAATTTATAAAAATAGAGTGATTAGGGTATATGGGGATACGGCAGATAATTATTTCCTGCCACCCAGTATTACCATCACCCAGTCCTGTCCGTGGCTGTTAACCGAATGTTCTCTGGGACTCGGGGGAGTCTCATGCTCCCGGATGAAACTGTCTATGAAGCTCTTCCCATCTCTGATGCTGCGACGTTTCTCCACCTGAGACGCCAGCCAGGCTTTTCGAAGCTGGAGCTTTCTCAGTTGCAGACATTTGCTGAAAATGAAGTCGACCGGGCGCAGGATGCCGTCCACCCGCTCCCACATACTACGTCCCTCACACATCACGTGCCATCCATTCTCTACTCTCATTCTCGTTATTCCTATATTATTGTCATTAGAAGACATCTTACAAACTTTCAACTTACTCACTGCACCTTTTGCTTACTATCACCCAATTCCTTCTCACTCCGGACATACCTCACGTTGGGCCCTCTGGTACAGTGTGGCTCTCGAAGCGATTCCACNTTTTTTCAACTCTGGATGCAACCAGTTTCCGATTGCTCTGTAGTAATTTCGAATTAACAACTGACCAAGTGATTAATCAGTATGTTGCTTGTTATTGTTTAAGTTTAATTAGGTACAGCTGCTCCCTGTAGAGTTTCACAACAAGACCGATCAACAACAACAACAACAAGATTCCATTTATAAAGCGCCTTTAACGTCAGGAGGACGTCCCAAGGCGCTGCACAGTTGGGTCAGGACCCGAGCATTGGGGGAAATGGTCAGTGTGAGGGGAGGGAAGGAGCGAGGAGGGGGTAGAGAGTCGAGAGGGGAGCTGAAGGCACGGTCAAAGAGAAAGGTCTTGAGACCGGCCTTGAAGGAGGAAAGGGAGGAAGCGGTGAAGGCACTGGGGATAGAGTTCCAGAGCCTCGGAGATGAGAGGCTGAAGGCCACCGATGGTCGGGTGGTTGGGGCGGGGGATGTGGAGCAGACTGGAGCCGGAGGGACGGAGGGTACGGGCAGGTATGTAGGGGGATAGTAGATCAGAGAAGTAGGAGGGAGCGAGGCCGTGAATTGCCGTGTAGGTAAGGATGAGGATCTTGAATTCGATCCTCTGGGGGATGGGAATCCAGTGGAGGCGAGCGAGGGTGAGGTCGAGGGTGGGAGTGATGTGGTGCGGGACAGTACACGAGCTGCAGTGTTCTGGATGACCTGCAGTGTGAAGGGAGGGCCGGGAAGGCCGACGAAGAGAGAGTTCCCATAGTGCAGTCTTGAGGTGATAAAGGCGGGGACCAGAGTTTCAGCCGCGTGAGGGGTGAGGTAGTGCCGTTGTCTGGCGATGGTCCGGAGGGAGAGAGATGCAAACTAAGATTGTGAAAAGCAGAATTTGTAAGCGTGTGAGAGACACATAGGGAGA